CAAAAAAATCTTGAGTAAAGACATGTAGAATGGCTAAAATCTATGGCATCTTTTCAAGTTGTGGTTGATTTAAGCAAGCCATGGTGTTTTCTGGTTAATAATGAAAGAAGGGACAATAATGGATTACATCGACAGTGATGCATGTCTCTCTTATTCAAACGTGCGTATATCATATTGCAGGGTTTTGCTTGTGAAAATACTAGTAACCAATCATATTGGAGATTGAACATTGAGTGTAATTGTTTTACGCGGGTAGTGGCTATTTAATTTGAACTGCACTATTAGTGTGTCAACAGTAATCCTTATCTTTGGCCAATGAGGATGAACTGTCCGGATTTTTTAATCGTCGAACTTGGCTGAATTAATTAACCTAATATTGATTACTTAAACCAAATAGGCGCAGAGTTTACGAGAACTCGGCTTGTGATATTGGAGCTTAATCACAAAAATCCATTGAGACCTTTAGATAGCTCCCATAAAAAGGATAGCACAGGTGTTTACCTAACTCGGGCTAGGTAACGTGTGTTCTCTTCTGGGGAGAGAACACACAAGCACTGCAAACCACCAATCCTCTTAGCAACAGTAGCACCAGTAATGCCCAATCATCACAAACGATTGCCCCAATGCCAGTAATTCCTCCATCGAACAAACTGCAGCATTCATATTTAGCTTAAATATCCAATCGCAGGAAGTGGAAACCGAACAAGAATTATGCATATATGTTGATACCGCTTATTATGAATAAAAGAAATGAGATTATATGGCAATATATAAAATAGCAATCACAAACTCAACTTCAAGTTTGTATAATAAATAATTATATGTTCTAACTTATCGTTTTTAAACATTATCTTGTCTACCATTTCTAACATGCGGAACATGGTTAAAATAACCAAAACATCATTTTCCAAATATGTATAAAGCCTAAAATTCCATATTCAGTTTCATGTGTACACTTTGTGTATACAAGTAGTTTAATTTCCAATTCACCTAGATATTGACCAGCAATTTGACAGTTGATTGAAAAAAAGTGTTATCAAGATCGATGTATCGTAATCTGCCAAGTCACATGAGTGTAAATCAGTGTATCAACCCCTGTGTACATGTAGCATGATCATTTACTTTAATCTCCAATTCACCTAGATATTGACCAGCAATTTGATCGAGCATGGCATTGTAGTAGTTAAGTAGAAGATTAACGACATTCTTGTAGTAGATGACAATGGGAACAAAGCTGACATTGCCAGCTTCATTAAAAGGACGACGGATAGAAATGCTATTGGGCTTGACTCCCAATATACACCCCTCCCCCATAATTTACAAAATAAATGTGATTCTTTACAGAATAACGTTCTCGTTCGTTCAATGGAGCTAAAACAGGATGTCTGTCGAAGCCCTTGGGTAAGTGGAAGTGTACAAGCAGCCTTCCACCCTATACCCTTGGAGGCATAATCTACGATTTACCTCATTCACCAATGTCTAGGGCAAGGCAGATGGGGGCCGCTAAGGATGCGATTCATCCTTTTTTTTTAAACAGGATGTCTGTCGAAGCCCCAAGGTATCAATCATTTTAAAAATCGTTAGTTTAACCGTTACTATGCTAGAAGATATAACGGTCATTAGGCTAATACAGTGACCAATTATGTTGTAATATTAATTATATTATTTAATTTTTGTGACTAAATGGGTTATAAATACGCTTTAATGACCAATTTGAAATTTTGCTTGAATTTCAATGACTAATAGTGAAATTAACTCCAAATGAAAATACCTTGAAAACTAGAAGCAACGATATGACTCATCACATGCAATCCGATATATAACACTATTCAGTATGTCAAACACTAGTTTATGCGATAATTGTATGACATTAAATGATAAATTAATTAAATGTAATATTACATTATTCATTTAATTAAACATCACCGCGAGTGGTAAACAACATTAATATTCAATTCAAATTAAAAATACCTTGAAAACTAGAAGCAACGATATGACTCATCACATGCAATCCGATATATAACACTATTCAGTATGTCAAACACTAGTTTAGACGATAATTGTATGACATTAAATGATAAATTAATTAAATGTAATATTACATTATTCATTTAATTAAACATCACAGCGAGTGGTAAACAACATTAATATTCAATTCAAATTAAGTCAAAATTCCCCTCTGCATAGTACATATTCTTAGAACTACATTCCACCGGATAATGAGTAATTAAGCAGACAAATACCTGTCACTTAATTATTTTTCCTCTCTTAAGTGGTTCCACGTGCTTGAGTTATTTAATTCCCTAACTACCATACACCCTATCCCTACCTACGCTACTCTACCCCACAACACACTACCCCACCCCAAAAATTCGGAGATAATCAAATCACCAATATTTGTATTAAGTTACTACTTGATTACCCAAAAATAAAAGGTTGTCGTCTGCTCACCCATTTTTTTAAAAAATTATCCATTTCAATTCCATCCATCTAATTAGACAAAAAAAATCTACGTGGTGGATGGAAATCATACGTGGCCACTAACATCGTCAAAAAATGACAGGTGGAATAATTCATTTCTATTAAGGCCGTGTTTGATATGTCACATTTTTCGGGAAAGTAGGAAAATATTTTCCACTTTCCACTTTTTTGACTGTTTGATAGGAGAAATTTTCCAAAGAAAATATTTTTCGGATTTTCTCCA